TTTGTATAAATTTATATTAAATATAATTAAAATTTGTAATTTACAATTTAATAATAATATAAAGTCTAAAAGAATATTATATTAAAATATTAGTTAAAATTTTATAAAAAAATTAAATTAAAAATATTATATAATTTTTTGCAGACAAACTTACTAAGAGATAGCTTAACAGTAAAGCTGCTAATTCTTATAAACTAGATCAATAGTTCAAATTGAACTAAAAACAAAATCTTAGAATTTTAATTTTGTAATTTATAAGAAGTTAAATTAAATATAAAGCTTTGTAGAAAGTCCCAAGATGAAGTATAATAATGAATTAGAAATTCTTAAAAGGAGACTAATTTTGCAAAATAAAGATACTATGTGTAATAGCAGCATTACAGAAGATTTGACTATACAATAGTATTGTGCATATAAATTTCTAAAAAAATAAGACAACACCAATATCTTCATATCTAACTTATAGAATATTTAATTGAAAGGGTAATACCAAATAACCAAACTAAAGTAGTAAGCAATATAGTGCATACAAAAAAATTTGTAACAAAGGATTAGTCTAACCAGATTTGAAACATCTTAGACAAGTACTTCTAAAGTACTTAATAAATATTCTCTAAAGCAATTATACATTACAACTTAGATGTTAGGCACTATATCTATATATAATAAGTTAAAATTTTAGACTTTCTAGTAACATCAAACTAGTAATACATTAGTATATAGTTAGTGGTACACTTATAAAAAAGCTTGCAAGAAGAATATATGATTAAGTTACAAACTAAACACATTATAGAAATACATCTAAAAAGAGTATATAATAAATTGCAGATTAATAATCCAGATCTTAATAAATCTAGTTATATTAACAGAATACTAGAAAATATATATAGCTATGTATACTAAACTGGTAGCAAAAAAAGCAAGAAACAACTAGAGTTAACTAATTTGAGAGAAGGATAAATTACTGCAGGTAGTAGATAAGTGAACTGCTATTAGATTAAAAAGATAAGAGGAAATTTGAGTATAACAAAATGATCTACAGCTTTTTCAGTAATTTAGTAATAATGATTGAAATACATAGTAAAGGCTATAAAAAAAGTATATAAGAAAATATAAGTGTAATATTATGTTAAATATCTAGAGCAATTAGTAATCTAGTAGCACAAATATAATGTAACTATATGTAATAGTAATACAAAAAAATTAAATAAAGTATAAGTTACAATTTGGCATTATATATATAAAAAAAAAAAGTATATATAAACCTCTAAGATTTTCTTTCTTATAATCAAATTATTCAATTGTATTAAAACTATTTTTAATTTTAGTTAAACTAATTTTCTATTACAAACTATTCTCAAATTTATTGTTTTTTTTATTATTTTAGTCTTAATTATTTTCAGATTATTTTTTAATTACATTATTTTTTGAATTCTAATAAAAAATTATTTGTATAATTTGTTAATTATTTTTTTAAGCAAATATCTTACAAATTAGAATAAAAATATTGATACAACTTAAGTTAGAAGATGTAAAAATATTAGTATTGTTTTAATTTTTAATATTTATTTTCTATAACTATAATTTTCTATATACTATTATAAGAAATGTGACAACTTAGTAAAATAAATAAGTTGTTAACTCTTCAAGTAGTTGATTAGGTATTTAAATTCTATCAATAGTAAAAATTTGAATAATTATCTATGTAATACTTATATTATATAATTGTTTTTAATGATTAGATTAAGATACCTGTAATAGTAGTTATATTAGTATAACTAGCAAGTTATAGAGTATCTGTATAAGTATAATATTACATAGAAAAATGCAAACTAATATTAGGTAATGCAAACTTTAAATTAATTCTTGTAGTTAAAGTTCTGCAATTTGATTTAATTTAATTTGATTTAATCAAATATTTGAGTTTAAATTAAATTTAAATCTGAAATTTTCAAATCATATTAAATTCAAATATGATCAAATTTAATTTAATTTAACAAATATTTAATTTGATTTGAAAATTTATAATTGAATATTCAAAATTATAAGTTATTTATTTGAAATTTTATTAAGACAATTGACTTTTTTGTTATATAAAACTAGGAGTATTTTGTTTAGATAAATACTTTTATTTAAGAGTTCAAGATCAATTAATATAGTAAAATTTTAGAGGTTGGGCTTCATAGCTTAATTGTTAAGCTGCCAGCTTCCCATAGACAAAGTCAATGGTTTGAGTCAGGCTAAAGGCAAAATCTTAGGATTTTAACTCTGTAACCTAATATAGAAGCCAAATCAGATACAAAGCCATATAGTAATTTGTAAGGTGAAGTACAAAGATGAATTAAGAATTTCTGAAAGAAGATCAACTCTACAGAGAGAAGGCACTATGTGTGACAACAACATTACAAAAGATTTTATTTCTAAAAGTGTTGTATAGATAAGTCCTATTGAGACAAAGCAGCATCAACATTTCTGTAATCAACTTGCAGAGTACTTGATTGGAAGGATAATACTAATGTAGTTAAAACTGAAGTGGTGAGTGAAGCAGTGTATACAAAGAAGATTTGTGATAAAAGATTGGTCTAACCAAAATTAGAACATCTTAGGCAGATACTATAAACTCTTAAAAAGCAAGACAATAGTTATACATCACAACATCATTGATGGTTACTATATTCATACATAATAAGTTAAAGTTTCAGACCCTCTTGCAATACCAAATTAGAAGTACAATAGTACAACAAGTATGGGAGTATACAAAAAAGAATATGTGATAGCTGCAGATGATAATCCAGAATCTTGATAAATCCAACTATGTCGATCAGTACCAATATATGAAAGGTTGTGTATACCAAATTGATAGCAAGAAGAGCAAGAAACTGCTAGATTCAACCAATTTGGAAGAAGGAATGGGTTACTGCAAGAAGTAAATAGGAGGACTATGATTAGATAGAATTAGAGAATATAGTATTACAAGGTGGCTACAACCTTACCTTAATTAGTAACAATAGTTGAAACACTATAATACTAGTCTTAATTTAGAAAAGTATAAATATAATGTTATATTGGGTGTCTATATAGTAATATAGTAGCACAAATAAAATGTAATAACTCTAATGTATTAATCCAGTATTAATTTAATAAAGTATTATGATTGGCATTATAAAAAATAAAAAATAAAAAAAATATATATAGTAAAATTTTTTATAAATTAAGTTTTTTCTTTATTGATTAAAATTTTAAATTTTTTTTGAAAATCAAATCAAATTCAAATATTTGATTCAAATATTTGATCAAACCAAATCAAATTAAAAGTATATTTGATTTGATCAAATTCAAATCAACCTAATATTTAATTTGATTTAGATTTAAAGAACTTTAAATATAATTATTGCTTAATTTAGTATCTTTAAATATATATACTCAAAAGTTAAACTATCTTTATATATTAGTCTTCTATAATATTTCTGTTATAATTTGTCAGAAAAGCTTCTTAATTTGGTAAAACTAATTCTTTATTATAACTCATCTTTGTGTTTATTTCTTTTACTATTTTGGTTTTTAGTAAAATTCTGATTTTATACATACTAATAGAACTTCTTTGCACAACCTAATGATTATTTTCAAGCAAATATTCTATAAGTTAAATGCAAAAATATTAGTACTGCCTTACTAAAATATAATACTACCTTTTTGTTTTAAAAACTTACATGCACAATTCTTATATAATCAAAACCTTTTATAATATTATCATTATGCATAACATTTATACTCTTTAATTGAATTTTTTTTTTATCTAACTTTATATATGTATATGAACTTGTTTTACAGAGCTTTATATTTAATTATTTGGCTTTTTAAAGTTAAAAAACAAAACCTAGTTTGTCTTTAGCTAATCTTGAATTATTAATCTTTGTAAAAGTTTAAAAGCTTAACTACTAAGCTACAAAACTCAGACTCTTTTTATATATTTTATTTTATTTTATTTTATTTTTTCTAATTTTAATAAGATTTAAAAATTTTTGATTTATATTTAAATTCAACAAATATTAACTAAAAAAATGTAAAAACCAAAATTTAAAAAACATTTATTCATAACAGCTGTTATATGTAACGATCCAATCATATTTCGGTTTAGGGGTTGGGTTATACACTGTATTAAGTTACTTGTTACAAATAAGGTGTGTAGCAGGCTGTTACAATTAGATTCATTAGATTCGTCCTTAAGAAGTTTAATATCTATTTGTACGAATATCAAAAATAAGTATATCAATTCCAAAATTAAAGTCAATTAATTTTTTTTTTTACTTATCGTGCTGGACTAAAATTATCGAGATCTAGCGCTAGAGATAAGCAAGATAATATACAAGTAATAAATACTTAACCTTACGTTCAGTATAACTTTAATTACGTAAAAACATTTGGTGGTAATATTTCTTAGACAATCGCCCATCTCTATCGAGATCTATGTTCGTCTAAACTTGTTAAGCATAAAAGTAATAGTCAATTTAAATGTCGCTCTAATTTACTGCAAATTTTGAAGGTTAATAGTGAGTGGAAAGGGTGCTAGGTTAAAAGCTCATTCGTATATATACATTCACTTTTGTATATGTATTCCCTATGTTTTTTTGTCATCATAAAAGTCGCATGGATTTATGCTACGTACAGTGTTTAAAGTCTACTGTCAGGGCAACACGTTCGGAATCATCGCGTGATATTCTAACAAGTAAACCGGAGATGGGGTATAATGGTTGGGGTTTGTGTGATATTCATGTTCATAAAAGGACAAGTGATGAACAGTGCACCGACCAAGAGACCGAAGAAAGACTATTAAGAAAGTTTCTTTGTATTACAAATGAATAACCAGTAATTTGCTTAGATCCTTTTATAAAAAGTGATTTGTTTATTAAATTTCAACTGAAAAAATCTAATTGCCACGTATCAAAAAATTATACCTGTCTTATATATTATAGTATATCAAACCCGCTTTTGCTCAACGAATGTCTCCCGGTCAAAGCATTAACGATAATTTTTCGAACCAAGCGACGAATTCAATTATGAATTCCTACATAGTAAATGTGGGAGAACAAACTTTTCGTCTATATCGATCTTCAATTACCTTTGACTCACCAAATTTTTTTTCTCAAACATTTCTCCGTGAAGAAGATGCAGAAACGAACAATACTGTTGAAGCAAACTCGTCCGTTAGCGGTCCGGACGGCCCCGGAAAAGACAATGATTCGTCCGCTGTCATTGAGACTAAAGGAAAATCAGGCACTCATACACAAAACTATTTCTCGTCAGACTCTTCTGTTACAATTGACAGAGATCCTAAGCTATTTGAAATCATTTTGAGATATCTTCGAGGCTATAATATATTTCCGCTTTCTTCAGTCAACTTACCACCAGGAATGTCCCTTGACCTCTTTCGAGAAAGTTTATTAGAGGACGCACGGTTTTATCGTTTAGACCGGCTCGCACAACTTCTTCAGGCCGAAACACCTACACCGTTATGTTATAAAGATCCGTTTACTTCAGCAGATAAGATCCTTTTATCCCTCCGCGATGTACCAATTCACAAAGATTTCATCAAATCCAAACTTGATGGATCATCTACTATTGAATTCTTTACCGGAGCAGTGCTTACTATCGAACTAGAGTCATCAGATGCTTCTATACGGTTTCATACAAAATTTTTAAACGAACAAGATCAAAAAGCTTTGGAAACATTGGGAGAGATTTGTGGAGAAAACTCACAAATTCAATTTTCAAGACAACTTTACGCCAACATGCAAGATACGTTGAATGGCATACGATTAGAAATTGATGGGGTGCAGGTCACTGGTATGGACATTTCTTCTATAGAAGCTTATAATCAGAGTAATCAAAGGGTCAAGGCGTTAGAAGACATGTTTAGGATTTCTGGAGGTCAACGTTTAGTCATATATGCGCAAGAGTTTGTTTTTAGACTGGATCGAATTAAATCCTCGACTATTGATGGCAATCAAATAAGTTCAGACACTATTAATAGTAATAAGAACTGTGAGGATCCTGTTAATTTCAATGGCGTGATCCCTTCAGACAGCAATGGAATGGAAGTAACTGTCAAAGAGAGACAAGAATACATTGAACGTCCTGACGACGATACCAATAGATCAAATATAGTCGAAGTGGATGATCGCAGTCATTGTGAAGAGAGTAACATTAATAGCGTAACGATCGAAAACAATAACAACAATAATGCAGACGAAGGTAATATGGTGTATCTTGGCGTTGTATGGGCTAAAGGTTGGACACAAGAATGGTGGGCATGGAATGAGTACAGAATGAAATTAGATGCTCTTCAATAATAGAATAAAAGGAATTGGATAAAATTGATTGGTTATATATTAGTATATATTATATATATATTAACTTTTGTATTTACGACCTATTTCATAGTCAAAAAAAAAAAAGGATACTTTATTCTTCTTGATATCTTATTATACTATTTCATTCATTTACCACTTATTATATTCATACTATTTGTTTTCTTTCTTTTGCATACGCGATTTACGATTAAAAAAGGTATGATTATTCGCGTCGTAATACATAAAAGCAGTGACATGATTATTAAATTTGGAGTGCGCTATTTATCACATACAAGTATGTACGTCCATACGTATTTTTTTAGACCTTCAGATACCGATTGAAAGTATAGTAATAGATGTCATAACGATTGATATATATCAATATTAACACTTACGTAAAGCGCTGTTACACGCATAGGATGGCAATTTATAGGGGCGTGAGCCTCTTTAAATGTCGCCTACATAAGTCAAAAAATGAAATAAAATAACGAGTGATAATTAATTTATTTCACATATTGTATCTTTTTTTAAAAATCTGAGAGAACCGAAAAAAAAAGGAATGGGCTTAGCCGGGAATTGAACCCGGGACCTCTCGCACCCTAAGCGAGAATCATGCCACTAGACCACCAAGCCACGATTATACTGGCAGGTCTAATAATATTTTATTAATAAATTTTATGTGAATCAATATAAAACGATCAACTAACTTATCGTCATTTAGAATGCTAACGCCTAACGCTAACGTTAACCTCTCAATACAGCATAAACGAATTTATATTTAGACAACTCCTTAATACAACGAGTTCTCTTTTAGGATAAACGCGACATAATCTCCTGCGTTTATATGACATCATGGCATTGAGAAAACCGATGAAAATTCCATAAACTACGTAAGATGAAATGGTTCTTAGAGGGATTAATTATCCTCAAATTGCCAGTGTTTTTAATTGGTTACGCGATAGTGTAATATGCAATGTTGATCTAGGACCCGTTATGACCCTATAACCTGTTATGCATAATAAAATTTACTATAATCGTCCCTCATTAATATCAACTCAGTTAATATCAACCTAAGCTATAAAATAAATCTTTATATGGAGACCTCCACAGCAAAAGAAGGCAGTGGGCAGTTTTAAAATTTGATCTTTAGATAAGTATACCTCATGATCTAGTGATCGGAATAAAATAATTTTTATATCATTAGATTCATCTCACTAAGATGAATCTAATGATATAAAAATCATTTAATTCCGATCACTAGATCATGAGAT